GATTAGCAGCTTGCGTGGCCTGTGCTGATAGAGTTCCCTGATAGCTGCACAGCTATATTTGCTGAAAACGAATGTTTTGGAAGCAGCTGACATTTTCCCCCACTCTCATCCGCTCAGCTAAGAGGCCTCTTCACTGCAGCAGCTCTGTCTGTATCAAAATCAGATAACGTCAAACTGTACGCATGCACGCACACACACACACACACACACACACACACACACACACACACACAGTGTGAACCAGCTTAACTGTTGTTTTCCACATTTTTTCCACCCAGGAAAGTTCACATCAACAACTTCAGTCAGAAATCACAGTTGTGCTAAATTGAAAAGTCTGATATCTCAGACATCTTGCTACTTCTGTCTCCTTGGTGATGCTTGATTTAGATTGCCCTTGCCAGCACGTCATCTGCAAGCCAATAGATGCACGGCAACTCCCATTGTGTTAGTTGTATATGTCATCAGTTATTCACATTGGGCACCTGTTGCTGTCACTGTCTCTTTGATATAAATGGCCAATGATTTATTAAAGAGGGTTTGTGAACGATTATGAATGATGACAGTCATGATAACAACTAGGAGTATAGCTGCAAGGCTGGCACCACAGGAAAGCAGCAGCAGTCTCACAGTAAAAGCCCCTGCAGTCCTATAAAGATGTATCAATGTTGCGTTTGTTTTAGCATTTTATCAGCGCTGGAAAGTATGTTGAATGTAATCCCGAAACGAAAAATCTATCTCCTGTTTGTCAGTGAGATGGCAACTTTATTGCTGTCTTGTTAAATGGAGTGGTCTGTGGAGGATAGGAGAGAGGGGATGACAAAGGAGAAATATGCTCAATCAAGAGTCAGTTAAGATTCATCGTTTTATTCTTATGCCCACTGCCGCAATATCATGTAAAAGAACCCACAAAAGACAAACCAACAAAAAAGCAGTATTGATTTCCTTTTAAAACATGAACTTGTCATCATCCTCCCTGTTTGTTTTGTCTATCTTCTGTCAGAGGAGACACACGGTGCATTGCAAATATGATTAAAGGTAGCAGCGACAGCATGCATATGTAGCACACAAACATGAAAGATACATATCGGTAAGGTACATTATCATAACAGGAAGCACACAGATAGAGCAGCTTTGGGGGTGTTCATCTGTGCAGTTCCAGTATGTGAGAACACGGCTGTGAAATAAAAAATAAAAATGGGAGCGCTGAGTTTGCTGAGAGCTCCCTTGACAGGGAGCAGAACAGGCTATTACTTCATATTGCACCATTTAAGCTGTTTTTATTTTGGACTCTCCAGCTCCTTCTACCAGCCGACGCTGTCTCTGGGGATAACAATCAGGCCTCAAAAAGAAAAGGCAGACAGCTCTTAACAGTTTAAAGAGTTGTATACAGCGTGTGTCTATATACTTGTGTTGGGGTGGGCTCGGATAAATGAGGTAATTCCCTCTCTGCGTTTGCGTCAAGAGACCGTGGCTGTCACTCATGCTCAATTTGCTTCGACTTTTCTCAAACGCTGCTAATCTGGGTGACAATGCGTAGTCTGAGGTGTTTTTATCCTCTCTTCTCTCACACAGACTCGCTCACCCAGCTCTGTGAGGGCTCATATAAACAAGTTGGCTCATAAAAACAAGTAATGGCAAAGAAAGAGGTTTTGAAGTCTCAGATTCTCAGATTGGGTGGTGCAATTTGACTCTCACCCTTTTTCTATGTTGGCCTGTTGGCGACTACATGTCTCTGTCCGTTTGAGTAACAATTGCTCCCTCTAGTGCTGGAGGATTATAAGACTGATGTGGAGAGACGAGAGAGAAAGAGTAAAACCATGTAGTTTTTTGGTTCAGGGGAGGAGCAGAAGGCGTTTCTGTCAGGCCTGTGTCCTCTCCTTGGAAGAAAAGGGAATATCAAAGGCAAGATGGGGCCATGAGAGACTAGAGATCAGTTGAGGGTGGAAGCAAGGAGATTCAGTGAGCTAAGGTGAGGGGAGGCAAAAGTGCGCCAGAGAAGACTTTCAGATTTCAAGAGAGACATTACATAATTTGTGCAGATGGTAGCTTGAGTGTCTCTATCCCCTCATGTCGCCCCTACCTCTGCCAGGACACATTATCCTCTTGTTCAGGAGGGTTAAGGACTACTTTTGATCACACACTGTGCATGTGTGTGTGTGTGTGTGTGTGTGTGTGTGTGGAACATAGCTTTGACAGGACACTATTAAATGCGCACAAGCACCACATACAGAGCCATAGGGAGTCTTTGCTTCAGACAACAGTAAGAAAAGCAGGAAGCACAATTGACCACAATAAACCTTTCTCATTTTAACATTTTGACTTCTCATGACAAACGGTCTAAAGTCAGCTGCTAACATGCTTTCGGTGGCGATGCTAACAAGCTGTGCAGATATAATAGTTACCATATTCACCATCGAAGTCTGGTGTTTTAGCAGCGTGCTAATATTTACTATTCAGCGCTGATGGAAATGTCTTTTCTTGCAGGTATTTGGTTACAAACTAAAATATCGGACTGATTGAAATCTTGACCAGATGATGGCACTAGACACACAGTCAAGGGATTCTGAGAGGATCATGAATGTCTGCACTAAGAAGCATAGCAAATCATGCAATCGTTGAAACCTTTCACTCTGTAAGATTGTCAACATCATGGTGGCACTAAAGTTGCACTAAGTTGGTGGATTCAACCTGCAAATTGACTTGTGCCAATACATCAAGTAAATGCTGACATATTTCACTCAATAAGGGATACAGTTGATCTCAGGTGATCTTGAAAGTCATTAGCATTCATCCATTCAGTACCATGAATGTCTGGAACAGATGTTATGGCAATTCATCCAATAGGATACCTAAACGGAATGCAAGTGAACAAGTATGTAAATTGATGTTGCGTTTGTTGCTATATACAGAAGGAATTTGACATTCAGGACATGTTGCTTTGTAGGTGTAAAGCCACAAAGGTAATCTCCTGCCCAGCTCAGCTGTCCATTGCCGTAAGAAGCTGCTATTTATGCCGGTGATACATTTTAGCTGTAAAATGAAAAGCGCCTGTTTAATTTAAAATTATCCCCAGCTGCACGGGGAATAAAACATTCAAACTATATTTTTGAGAACATTGGCAACATATTCATTGAAATGGGAATTTTTGAACTTTGAATAAAAAATAATAAAAAATCTATTAAAAGTAATTAGCATTGATCCATTGAGCAACATGAATGACTGGAACAAATATTGTGGCAATCCAATAGTTGTCCAGACATTTTACTAAAACACTTCATGGTGGCACTAGAGGAATAGCAGGACGATTACAAATGCACAGGTACAACTAACAACATGAATGATGGCACTGGGGAATTTATGTGTTTGAATGCAGCATGCTCAAGTTCCTGGAAGGATACCTAAATGGAATGCAAGTGAATAGGTTTGCAAACAGCTTTTGCTTTCAGATTAGTAACCTTATTTCACTTTCATTATAGATACTATAATGATACTACTGTGATGTTGCCTTCCGCATGATATACCTTTCATAGAGATGGTTATCTGTGTGTGTGCACTTATAGCGTTCATGCTCCTGTAGTTCAAGGAGCTGCCTTTGTGAATGGAACAATGGCTACATGTTTTTTCATAAATGTAGTCCATTCATGGCACATGAAGGACAGAGCATAAAGCTGATGCCAAATCAGATCTGGAGTGAGATCACAGCAATAGAGATAACCGGCTCAAAGCATCCAGCTACATGCTGGCAAAGTGGGAACCGGAAGGTCTTCTAATGAGTTTGGGATATTTGGAAAGAGAAGGATTATGAATTCTGCTTTGTGCCTCATGCACTGCATCCAGTGTCAGAACAAGAACTAATGAAATCACTGTTTAATATGCTAATGTTCAGACTTTATTAAGGCAAAAAGCAGGATGAGGGAGTTCTAGCATGGCTGCCATTGTGTGCTGTAGTTCGTCCCCGTACATCTGGTCTTTGCTGCAAAGACACAAGCATTGATTTGCCTCCCAAATTCAGTGTTTCTTTCTTTGCTCTGACAGGCATTGCCATGGAAACACAAGCCAGTGGTATTACAGTAAAGTTAAGAGGAAGGCTGTAAGGAGCCAGTCCACCAGACTGTGAAGGGCTGGTATAATTCAAGACCAAAGACAGCGCTACATGTGCATCATCTCTCTGGGGATGAGACGACTACAGCCTGTACCCGTACTTTTAGTCCCTCACATCTTTCAGAAAACCGCTGTTAATTTTACCTTAAGGCGTACATAGCTGCTTTACACTCATCAGACAAGAGCATTTCTCTTTATAGGTGTAATCTGGTGTCTGTGCCTGTTTCCTCAAAAGTGAAGGCAAGGAATGGATTCTATTCTTGTCTCTTGTACAGATGTTGGTGTTAAACATTGATAGGGCTGATGCAGGGAGAAAGGGAGAGAGAGAGGGGGGGGGAGACAGAGAGAGAGAGAGAGAGAGAGAGACATGGCTTTCTTCTCCTTTATGCTTGATTTGATTACTCTCCAGCATCCAATTTTGTTGAGTAGGAACATCTGTTAAAATGCAGCAACTGCATTATGGCAGCGATTCAGAATGTATTCAAATGTAACAGCCTGTGTTAGACAGTGAGAGGTTTTTTTTCTGTTAAAGTGCTGACTTTAATCTTTACTTCAGATTCTTACACGTACTGTACATTTTTAAGTTATTGCCCCGCAATTGTAGGGGATTCAATTAAATTTAACAATCTAAAATATGTAAAATTGAAATGAAAGAGGATTTTAGGTTATTCACGTGGCCAATCAAGAACACAAAATGCTCTGGCTGTGTATTTGGGATCTTTGATCCGCTGCTTGGTCATACATTGTGCGACCATGTATTCCTACATTGTTATGGATGTGAAGATCCTGAAACAACCTTGAAAGTCAGACATTTAATCTCATAGTGAATGTTTAATTTCAATGTGATTGAGTGCAGCCAAAACTATTAAAAACGTTTCACATTTCGTACAGCTATTTTTTTAAGCGCAGACTCCTTGAAGCACATTCATACACATACTACTTCCATTTTTCATCTGGTGAAACATCCAGAATCACACACAAATTAAATGTTTGCATTAGCAGATTTTATACCTCCATTGCATAAACGGTGACTCAGTCTGCACAAATGCTTGCCACACTCACGTCTCAGCACATTTGCAGACCACACAGTCATCCTATGTTATTGTAGAACCTCAGAGCACTTCCTGGTTGATTCATTTCTGTGTTACTTGGAAAGAAAAGTTTCAAATCTTACCACACATTGTGTTTAGCTGCTCCCTTGTGCTATGCTTTGACTTCTCCCCTTTAAAGACAAAGTATCAAGCTGCCTGGTATGTTGCTACATAAAGAAAGAATTTGTCAGTCAGAACATGTTGCTTTGTAGGTGTGAAGTCGATAAGTTAATCTCCTGGTTAGCTCAACCGTCCATTGCAGGCAGTAAGAAGCTGCTATTTATGCTGGTGATACATTTTAGCTGTGAAATGAAGAGTTCCTGTTTAATTTTAAAGGTTTAATGAATTTCATTAATTCATAAAGGCAAAATTATTTCCAGCTGCAGGGGCAGTAAAACATTTATACAATTATTTTTTTATTATCAACATATTCATTTAACTGATAACTGTTGAACTTTGAATAACAATTAATACAAATATATTTACAGTGCAACTTTTTGAATTATAAAACATTGCATATATTACATGCCACATAAAAAATTAGAAGTGCATTTCTTCCCCCTCTCCTCTCATCTCCTCTTCTGGTCTATGAGGTTCAGTCCTCTTCACTGGGTTTGGTTTTCAGTGGGTGTTGCTCTACCCACAGATTTTGACCTGACTTGTTTCGTCCTGAGACTTTGCTTCTGCAAAACATCAGCAGCATTAGGAACATGACCAACAGCGAGCAGACGACGAAAGCTATAACAATCCAAATCCAGATATCCGACTTGCATTCTGGCTCAGAGATGGCTTTGACATCTCCTGCAAAGAAGAAGACAAAGAAATGCTTTACTGGTGCCCGCATATACATAATTTAATATGATTTTCAAGCACTGTTATTTGCTGGGAGATGCTGCATCACATTAAGATGTGCTTACCTTCTGCATAGACATTAACAGTCAAATATCCTGAGTTTTCCACTGCAAGCTTCCTCCACCCATGAGACAGAGATGGGAGCCACTCTTCTACCTCACAGAAATACAGGCCACTATCTTCAGGGCTTGGCTTCAAGAATGTAAGGCTGAATAGTTCGGGCAAAGGGTGGCCAAATCTTAGCTGATCACCCTTACCAAACCTGTCCTGTAGGGTGGAGTTGCGGTAAGCTGTGAATATAGGGTGTTGTTCAGTTTCTGTCTCTTTCCGCCAAAACCATGTGACCTGGAACTCAGAGTGACTGCTGGATTGATTGGCGATATGACAGGGGATGGGGAAATCCTGGGATCTGCTTATGTTCAACGACCTTTCTTCCTTCACAATGGACAGGTTGTTTTCTGTGAAAAAACACATAGATGAAAAGACAAATTATATTCCACTTTATCTTCACAAAGCAAAGCAATCAATGGGACTTAAAATTTAATTTCACAAGTATACAAACAGACAGGGAAGAAGTCAGCAGGGAAAGAAGACAAATGGTAGATTAGGAAGCTTTGCAAAGAGCAGAAACAGAAAACACAACAAAACAATAAAAAGAGAAGAGCAAGTAGATCATATGTACAACGTTAAGACAACATCATGCATAAAACCATCAACACCACAAGAGCAAGACATATGACAGTACCACTAGAGAAGCGGTTAGTTTGCTGAGAAGTACATGTGCGGGTGTGTAGCACAAGCCACACAAACACCCATGCAAACACACAGCAACATTTTAGAAAGCTGCCAACAGAGTGCTCTGAAAGACTTGATCATACCTGCAACCTTGACAGTCAACGTGATGGGGCCTGTGGTGTCTGAGGCCTTTTGCTGCCAGTGACCTTCATGGTCCAGCTGGTATTGCTCCACCTGGCACCGGTAGGTCCCACTATCACCCTCATGGGCCCTCTGAATTCCCAGAGGGAAGCTGCTCTGAGTGGGCCTGGAGAGACGAAGCCGCCCCTGCAGGTCTCTGAGTTCCTGGTTCTCTGGGTAACTCAGCAGGCCCGTGTGATCAAGCTCCACCAGGTTATTCGTGTTGGAAGAATCAAGTCCAGTATAGAGCCAAGCAACTTTGTAGAATAAAGAAGGACCGGATGCACCTGACATGATGTTACACTTGAGCTCCACCTGGTCTCCCTCTCTGGCTGGCGACGGCTGCTCATTCTTCTCTAAACTAAGGTCGTTGGCTGGAGAATGAGAGTGGGCAGAGAAATTAACACTTAGTCAATGAAGAACTTAGTATTTTGTCAAATTATTTTAGCCCCTGAAAACTTAAAAAAAAAACGTACTTCTATATATGATGAAGTGAGCTAAAATCAAAGTAAAAGTTCAAGGGTCATATTCAGCAAACCATACGTTTTTGATCCAAGAATAATTCTAAAAAGATTTAGGCATTAAACACATTTGATTGACAGTGCTGAAAACACACTGAAGGCGCATTTTGATTTAAAATGTTTCTCAATTGGTACATAGAAATAAATTACATTTTTTCCAACTGAGCCCCAGCCATTTAAAATCACTGAGAAAGAAAAGGAGAAATAGATGATTATGGAAATCTCTCATTTGAAATAAGCAAAGCTGTTTGAACATTGGCAGAGCATTGTGTGTTCATGTAGGGAGCTTGTTTAGAAAGAAGGTTTTTAGGGGCCTATAAAATGGTGTTGTTGATGACTTGTGTTACTCACTGAGACATTCTCAGTGAGTTATTTAACATGAACTTACCAGGCTCGATAACTGTTAGCTCTGTAGTTTTGGACACCGGTGAGAGCTGATACCAGTCACCATGAGGATCTTGCAGCCACTCCACCACCTCGCATATGTATGAGCCGCCGTCTGAGATCCGAGCTTCCCGAATACTAAACTCAAAACTAGGGCCCTTGGTGCGCTTCATGCTGATTCGCTGCCTGTGGCTCGGCTGTACCTGGGGTCCGAATGTCACCAGGGCATCCTGGTCTGAGCTCATAATGGTCTTATTTTCTGCCTGCTGCTGGAGCAGCCAGGTGACAGCATAGCGGGAGGACGCAGAGGGTTCTGAGGTAACTGAGCATTTAATTTCTGTGTCAGTGTTGATATTTATTGTCAAGGCAGGGGTGGTGGTCAGCACGAGCTTGCTCACTAGGAGAGGGAGAAAAATATGAGAAATAGATAGCACAATGCAGCTTTCATCCAAAGACGACATGTAGCCTTACAAATCTCAATGGTACCTGGCTTCTGCACCAAAACAGCCAGCTGGTTGGATGGAGGCAGCTTCTTGTTAAAGTTCTCCAGGAAGACAGACACCCTACACTGGTAGTTTCCCGCCTCCCTACGGCTCGCACCATTGATAAGCAGATAGTAAACGACTTCATTCTCTTTGTTCTCTACTGTCAGCTGGTAGCGGTGCTGGTCTCCAGACCAGCTGATGGCACCATCAGAGTACAATGTCAGGATGTTGTCTAGGGTTGAGGCATCACGGTGCAGGCTCCAGGTGAGTGTTATTGGTATGCGTGGCCCTCTGACCCGGCACATCAACTCCACATTTTCTCCTACAGTCACTGTGCTCTTGCGACTTATCAGAGACACTTTAACAAACGAATCTGTGAGAAAAATTTTAAGAGTCAGCGGTGGTGAGTGAGAAAGCAGAAGTTGGTGATCATACAATCATCATGTGATCATGAGTGTTCAAAGTAAAAAAGAAATGTGAGGGAACTACATTTACAAAGTACTGTCTGTCTCTTCTCTTTGTTTTCATCACACTTGCACATCATCTCAATATCGTTTCCTTCTCTAAAATAAGACAGGGTTAATATACCCATAATCATCAAAAAACATAAAAACATTTCGATGCCAGTATATCTGTGTCAGTAACATCTATTACACATGACGCAACAAAAGTTTTTTTTCTTCTTTTAGACTTAATTGGGCTAAAAGTAGAAAGTTTGTGCTGATTACATCATTTTCCTCATGATTGTGCAAATGTCTTCTAATTAGTTTTTGATATTTCTTGCATGCAAATGGAAATTGCAAAGCAAGAAAGACCAAAATATAGAGAAACCATTTGTCTCAATATGCAGGTTTCATCATTCGTTTGTCTTGAATCATTTGTACTACACAGACAGACGGAGACATATCTTACCTGCAGGAGCCACTGTCACAGTGGCAATCTGTGACTGGCTGTTGGTCTTGCTGTTGATTTTCCATTCAGCCACAGCACACTGGTAGACGCCTGAATCAGAAAGCGTGATTTCATCAAGCTCTAGGGTGAAGGTGTCAGTCGCCGGACGCGTTGCCTTTACTTTGCGACTCATGAACTTCCCCGCTTTCTCCGTAACACCCTCCTGAGTTAGACTGATGACACTAGTGAACATGGCCGCCGCTGTTGATTTGCGTTGCCAGGTGACGGAGAGCTGATCTTTGACCCCGTGCACTTTACAGGTGAGCTCCAGCCGGTTGCCTTCGTTAACACCCACAGTGTTTTGCATTTCAACTGAGAGCCCACTTTCTGTGATGAGACATGGCAACAGACAGATGGAAAACAAAGTAACTTTATTATAAATAAGATTATCTTATCAATAATAGCCTCCATTTCAAAGGATAAAATGTATTAACCTGAATCATGCAGGTAAGAAAAGTAAAGCCTGAGTAAATGTCTGTGTTTGTGTGTGTCTCAGTCAGTATGAGCACATTTGCAGACTGACCTGTGGCTGAGATGCTGACCAGCTGGGAGCTGGAGTCCTGGACTGCTCGCTGCGTAAAGGCACCACCCTGGGCTCTGTCCTGAAGCCATGCCCTACAGATATACTCTCCTTGGTCCTCGGTTCTGACAGGCTGCAAAATGAGACGGTAGTCTCTATCCCCAATCCGGGCTGCCCTGAGCTCTCCTTCTTTCTCTCGCCCACTGTACTCGGGCCCCACAGACAGAATACCTGTAGGGCCAATGCGGGCCAACTCAACATTAGCCCTGAGCCAGGCTAGAGAGAAGAACCTTTCCTCCAGGTTCTGTGAGTCTACGTTGCAGGACAGCGACAGCTCCTGCCCCTCCTGCAGAGTTTCCGACTGTGCCGAGATTCTCACCACCAGAGACGACGTGTCTGGCACCACCTCTACTCACGGCAAAAAAAAATAAGCGAGACAGTGAGACAAACACAGACACACACACACACATCCTGTCAAAGAAGCCACTGCGCAGAAGAAGAACAAAGCAGAATGTGTTGACTCATATCAAGACGTGCTATTTGATAGACAGAATCAGTTAGATGACAGCTGTTTCTCACCTCTGGCTTTAACATTCAGGGTAGTTTCCGTTGCATCCTTTTGTGCGATAGTGTACCAAGAGAGGTCAGGATCTTGGATCCACTCCTGAGCCTGGCAGTAGATCCTGCCTTGGTCTGAAAGCTCCAGCTGAGTCATGTTTAGCTTGTACGTGGCCTCTCCCATTTTATCTAACCTGATCAGTCCAGCTTGGTGACGCGCTTCAAACCCGGGGCCTGGGCTAAGTGTAAAATCTCTATTCAGAGACATGATAGGGCGAGCGTTGTCCTCGCCGTCCTTATGGAGATACCAGACAAGAGACAGATGGGTGTGCTGGACGGTGTTGGTGGAGGCCTGGCATGTTAAAGTGAGAGCATCACCCTCATTATAGCTCAGTGAGGTGGAGGCAGGTGATGAAACGCTGAGGGAGTTGTCGATCACTACGCCACCACATCCAAAACAGAGACAAAGACATGAAAGTCATACATTTGTTGCCATCTTTTAAGATACAGCAATGCAGTTACATTTAAAAGTACGTCTTAAAACTCAAAAGTAGAACGGTGGCTGCTTACCTTTTACTGTTGTCGCAGCGCTGTAGGTTCCATGATAAGTATATTCTGAGTTGATTACAGAACAGTGATATTCCCCTTCATCACCTTTCTCCAGGCTTTGTATCTCAAACAAGACTGAGTTTGGAGTCACATGTGTCAGAGTGATATCTTTGCTCATCACGCGCCTTGTATACACGGCATAGCCGAAGCTTTGGTCACCTGTGCTGATGATGTTGATCTCAAATTTTGGTTTTTCAGGCTTCTTGACACGGAATTCAATATCTTTTCTGGTAATGTCACTGGCAAAACCACTCACATTGCAGGAGATGGAGAGCGGAGAGCCCACCACGCGATACAGAGGCCCGGCCTGTACTTCGGTGTGCACTATGGCTTCTCCTGTGTGAAGCACATTCAAAACAGATGGTGAAGTCAGTTGAATACTGAACCTTAAAGATTCAGCCATTTTTTATAAGGGTGCTACAATCCAGCATCGAACCTTTGTTTTAGTTTTGCGCACATTGTAAAGCTATCTATGAGAAGAACTCCAGTACACGGTTTTGGTTGCTGCGGAAATATTTATTTGATTACGTCGGACAGACTATTATTTTCAAAACTACACCTGCCTTCTGTCTCTGTCACACAGTAAGGTGTGCAGAGATTATTTTCAAAATGTTATGTATATGTGAAGCAAAGCTCTGTAGTCTTCATGATGCTTGGCACATTGTAAGAAAGGTGAAGTTTTTACAGTTGTGTGAAGTATTTTTTCATTATAAGTATCCAACGAGTACCTGCAAACAGCGGAAAAAGGTCTCCTACAAGATATTTATCATGGAATCATTGCTGCTTTTCCATCCTGGATTTTCCAGTAATTTGTTTGCCTTCACCAGTTAAATTGTTTTCTAAAATGACAGCGAGAATTACATAAGCTAATCATCAATTATGAATAATTGACTTCATTCACAGAAATGTTTGCAAATTTTGCAATTTTATGAAATTATAAAAGAATTGACCAAAAACACAGTGATTATTTTAGATGTATCAGCTTAGAATATACATGTATTAGTGGTTATCATTATTTCTTGTTATTTATTAGTAGTATATTTAAGATTGACATAATGACAGGTGCACAAATAACTATGTTCCACTTTTAAAAAAACACTCCACTATACCTCCTTACTGTAAAATTATACTTTATTTTGTTTTTTTTGTGAGGTTTTAACAAAATAAATACTATAATCCAACTGCAGTAATTATAGGCCACTTACCACAGTGCAGTAGTCCCAGCCAAAAGATCAAATTGACCCTCAAACAAGATAGCAGGGAACACTTCATCCTGAAACCTGTCTCAGAAGTAACACAGTGTCCGAGACTATAGGCCCTTAGTACGTGTGCGAACATCAGTCTGTGCCTTTAACACAGACATTTAGGTGGTTAACGCTTCCTGTAGGTACACCAAGAGGAAGTCTGATATAGTTCCTGCTTGCTCCGCGCAGTATTGTAGCATTGTGTTTGTAAATCTATTGTCGGTGTCACTTACAGTACGTGCCTTTAAAATGATTTTTGGTTATCAGGGGTCGGAAAAATGTACAGTGTCCTTGTTAGGGCTCATGTAGCCTTTATGGTTTGACTGCATCATTATATGCAGACTTCTGTTGGACAAATACAGCTTTTGGCATACTTAGAAAAAGACGGATTTTACAGCAGCCATACCTGAAACAATGGGACGTGAAGTTAAACGAATGCGACGCTCTCTGCTGCGGGCAGGTGATGCATTCTGTCGGCATCCTCCGAGATCGACGCACCTCCTTGTCTTACAAGTTTTTGCACTGTTTGGCAAAACTTTTATGTCAGAGTAAAGCATATATGTAACTTCCGGTTTTCCAGAATTCGATTCTTCATTTAGTCATTTAGGCTACATGATTATCAAAAGTCAAATGATACCATATCAAATATAATAATCAGATCATGCATCCACGGGTGGAGGAGATAAAGGGCTCGCGATTGAATGTCGTTGTAGCTTGGGTCCAAGCTGGACCTATTTCGGCCACGATTTCGGGAAACATTTGAAGACGAAATAAGATTGGAGTCATTTCGATTGTGTTTGAATGGTGTTGTAGACCAACGAGGCAGTAGTGCCCCTTAGTGTAGAAGATGCAAGCCTACATTGCTGCTGCAGCTGTGTCTGTGTTCACATTTCTTATAGTTACTGCTTTGATTGAGTAAAATATTTTCATAAAATGTAAAAATAAGATAAGAAAATACTGTATTGATCCCAGAGAGACTCCAAGGATAGAGGACTATTTGAATGAAATACAAAAAAAAAGGATAAATAAATGAAAAACATTAAATAAAAATATTTAGGCATAAACAAAACATGCAATATGCACTGACCTATAATGCCTTTCAACTTGTAAGAGAATTGTGCAAATATTTATGCAGCAGGAATCCAGAAATACAGCACATGCATATAATGTAACTCTGGCCTTTGTATAATATGTTCTGAATTTTAACTGCAATGTGATCAGGATTTAGAAACTGTGTTTACTCTGTTGTGCATTCTGTACGTAATGACTGGTTGTAATCATTTAGACCGTTTATTTTGAAGTCAAACCCAGGGCCTCCATGCAAGGACTGCTGGGTGCTCGCTGGACAGGTGGCCCATTGTTATAATATAATAATATCTAATAATCCTGGAAATAGAAAATAATACTATGATATAGCATATCATAGAGAGAAAATACAACAACAACATAATTGTACTTCATGGTGATATAAATAATAAAAAGCAATATAGTGGTAAATATGTTGCTACTACTTAAACTAATACTTTCAATCGTAAAACTAGTTATTGATTATATGTTGTTGTATATAGCAATAAGAAAAAATCATCTACAACATCTACAAATGTATTTATGTATTTATTCCCAACTCAATCTTTGCTTGATAGTTTTACGTCTTTAGGCTTTAAAAAGGTACGATATGTGAACCTATTGCTCAAAACCTATAGACATATGCAACTGTGCAAGCCAAAAAAGTTGGTAACCAATGTATCAGGGATGAAGGGCCTTGCTCAGGGGCACTTCAGTTGCACCTCAGGCACCAAGACAATCAAACAAAAAAATAGCTTATGTTGACAGCAAATATACAGACACACAACAACAGATATGTATTCAAGATGTTACACTTAAATCCACTTTAAACACATGCAGATAAGATGCTGAGTGTTATCTACACAATTATATTTGGTGTCATCTGTTGGAGGAGACCTGGTGTCTGTGTTTCTGAGAAATATGGGGAAAATTGGGTAAGTTAGAGGAAATGAGCTCAGCACCAGAAGAGGAAGTGTCTAGAAACAAGCATTGCTACACATTTCTCACAGAACAGGAATAGGAAGTATGAAGAGTGCAGGCAAAAACAAATCCACATCACAAACCGACACAACTGTTGTAGGCGTAAACCACAGGCGTCTTTTTTACTAGTGCAGGTGCACCTAGAGTAGCTGCGTGCAGTTCTTGCCAGTTTTTGATGTAAAAGATGAGCGACACACTGGAGAGGACGACAGAATGCCCCTTGCTGCCCCTCGCAGAGGCCTCCAGCAAAGACGAGGAGAGAAACAGCCTGACAGGCTCAAGTGAGCTACGCTGGGAAGATGGAGGTCTACCCGGGGAGCTGCAGAGAGGAATGGAAACCCTACGAGTGAACAGAGAACTGACCGATGTAGTCCTGTGTGTTCACGGACACGACTTCCCTTGTCACAGAGCCATACTCGCTGCTGCCAGTCAGTACTTCAGGTAAAATAAATCCAAAGTTGTCTAACACCGCTGTAATGGCACTGCTGGTTTTCCTGAATAATCTTTAATTTTGTTTTTTGCGTAGGGCCATGTTTTGCAGTGGTCTGAAGGAGAGTCATGAGAAGCATGTGGAAATAAAGGGGTTGGACAGTGGGACGATGCAATCTCTCCTGGAGTATACCTACACCAGCCATGCCCTCCTTACAAACTCAAATGTCCAGAGAATACTAGAGGCTGCCAGTCAATTTCAGGTAAAACCACAAATTACTAACAATAAAAGTGAAAGAAGATACTGGATTAGTTTACTTTACACATTCTTCGTCTGTTTCTCAGAGTTCCATCTAAATATTTAACTCTTATCTTATCTTATCTCCTATCAGCAACATTTTTTAGCGTGAGAAAGTGAGTGTCAGTAAAAGCAAGGAGACTGTTATTATCATCAAAGAAGCTGATTTCTGACTTCATGTTTTATAAGATCATAAACATCCTCAAAATGTAAATCAACCAGCAAAAAAAAACACTTTCCTTTTTAGCTTGTCACATTTTGTACTTGACCCAGTTGGGTGTGAAATGTTTTTATATAAGATGAGGAACTTCGTCCCATTCTACACAAGTGTGACTACATGCATGATCATGTGATTCTTTCAGCAGCAGTAAAAATATAAACTACCGGAATTAGAGTCATGAAGTTCTACGCGACTGCAACAGTTTACCGTTTATCAAATACGATGCCATTTTAATTCAGTGCCATTGAATCAGTCAGTTGGGGCACATGGTTCATCAAAGGCTTGGCAGGAGACACTGTGGTACAGAATTAGCAGCAAGAAGCATATTTATATACATTCAGATAGACTGGTTTTATTACAGTGATATCAGCGCTGTGGCCCTGCTGTAGTTTAGAACTACATTTAATATCCAAACTGATTGAAGATACTGATTATGTATCTTCAAATTGTTCTTATCTTCTCACTCTCGACATATTTCTCCCCTATTCAGTGGAACAAACATCGAACTGAATGAGATATGAGTAAAAGAGGGAAGTGAAAGTTGCCCAGTTGTTTACACTTAGGATCAGTTTTCCATACAGGCCTAAATTAACTACACAGCTGTGCCACATCTGGGGAGGCAAGGTTGTTTTCTTTTTATTAAAAAGAAGTTCAAGCATTCTTGTTACTCACTTCCTTCACAGGATGGTTTAGGGCTACGACTGAGGATAGAATTACAGATTTATATTTAGGGTACAATTTGAAGATGTGCATGAGATAATAATAACTTTATTTATATCGCACTTTTCTAATTGGAATTACAAAGTGCTTAAACAAACACTGTATACAGTAAAAACACTAAAAAGATTAGAATACAAAATAAAACAGTAAAATAATGAGGAGCATACAAAACATGTAATGTTGGTTATTGTTAAGGGTAAGGGCAAGAAAACCTCTGGGTTTCTAAGACACATTTCGTGTTACCTTATCTGCTTATCAAGGACAATGTTGAGAAACCCTGTATGTGCACCTCAATGTGCCGCCTCAGTTTTCATCTTGATACCACTGCCTATGCTGGCCTTGTCTCTATAGTTCCTGCGTGTGGTGGATGCATGTGCTGGCTTTCTGAGCAAGTCTCTGCACCTCGAGAGCTGCATTGGGATCCTGAATCTTGCCGAAAGCCATGCCTTGCCGGCGTTGATGACCGGGGCTCAAGACTACATCACCACTCAGTTCTCCCTGGTGGTCCAGCAGCAGGACTTCCTGGAGCTGCCGGCGGAGTCGCTGGAGGCTGTCCTTCAGAGGGACGACCTGGATGTGAAGTGCGAGGAGTGTGTTTTTGAAGCACTCATGCGCTGGGTCAGAGCCCGGCAGGACGAACGCTATCCTTCACTGGCCAGGTTGCTTTCACATGTGCGACTGCCATTGTTGGAGCCTGCTTACTTTGTGGAAAAAGTGGAGTCAGATGAATTGATTCGAGGCTGCAGCGAGGCTTTTCCCTTGCTGCAAGAGGCCCGCATCTATCACCTCTCCGGCAGGGAGGTCAGTATGCAGGGGAGACCAAAAATGTGATGTTACATCTGACATTATTAATATTTAACAAAATCCTGGATATTTTGGAAACATCACTTTGTCCTCAGGTGGCAACAACTATACCCTTTAATATGTCACATATTTTTAGTGTTGTTTAGTGAATAAAAAATGTCATTTTGTGATCAAAATCACTGCTGTATTTCACTGTGTTATAGTTTAATGTGCTGTGTGCTTGTATAACTCGTTTATAGGTGGTCTCTGAACGAACAAAACCCCGTGTGCAGCACTTTCTGTCAGAGGTGTTCCTGATCATTGGAGGCTGCACTAAAGACGAACGCTTCATCTCCACTGTCACCTGTTTGGACCCCCTCAGACGCAGCAGGCTGGAGGTTGCCAGGCTGCCAGTTACAGAGATGGAGGATGAATCCCAAAACAAGAAATGGGTGGAGTTTGCGGTCATCACTTTCCGCAATGAAGTGTATATATCTGGTGAGAGAGTCCCCATTCATGTTTCATATAACGAGGCTGAGTTACTGTAATATGTAAAGGAGATCCCCTACTGTGCAGATGAAAGTGAAATTGTTCCCCCGTCTACTGATTATGTATCAGACAAGTTGTGGTTTCTTTATGTCCTCTCTTGATCTACTTATTTTTCCTGCATCTTCAGCATGTAAACAAGTTGTTATAAATGTTCATAAGCTTCTCTTAGTTAAACATAGTGTTACAACCAGTGAATCCATAGCTGAGCAACTGAACAAAACAACAGGAAGATGTGACTGTAGTTATAGTTGTAGTAGGTTTAGGTGTTTCCCAACTCAGGAACTGACACTCCAGCTGTGGTTACTTTAACTGTTCAGCAACACGTATGCTGTGAAAGTTCAGCCTAGTTCATGGGGGTTTACATCGGAATGAAAAGTGTGCGGCCCAATGTGGCGCTCACATGGCCACTAAAGATTCAGCGAAACAAAGTTTGAACAGCAGGTGACCATGTTTTGTAATGCTTCTGTTGTTGTTGCAGGAGGTAAAGAGACACAGCATGATGTCTGGAAATATAATGGGGCCCTGGACAAGTGGATCCAAATTGAGTCTTTGACAACTGGGCGCTGGAGACACAAGATGGCCGTACACGGGGGAAAGGTGTACTCAATCGGTGGATTTGATGGAGTTCAGAGACTCGATAGCGTAGAGGCCTATGATCCCTTTCACAATCGCTGGGCACAGGTAAACATATGATAGCTCTGTATACAATAGTGCTTTTGTGGATTTTACACCAAATGTTCATTAATGCAGCTGGAATTAAAATGTGTACAATAACAATGATTATTATCACCTGACTCAGCAGTTCAGACTTAAGAGCATTCGGCAGCTAAAGAGTCAGATTCCTCTCCTTAGAAGATGGTGAATGCCCAAACAGAGCTTAAAGGAGAATGAATATTGGACTTAACATTCATCAGGCAGCCAGAAACAGTTAATAAGCAACTGTTTGCTAACATGCTCACAATATCAACTTCCCAAGTTTACAGATTGGTTCTGCTCCTCTCATGTAGCAGAATTAGAAATCAGTTCATGCAGGTTTTTAGAATCCTGCATCTTCCTCAGACACCGGATTGAATTCGTACTTCATTATAGCCATTCCATTTCAACATGCCCCTTTTCAAAAGTCACATTTTATTAGCAGCATTCAGCATTTCTTGACATTGTTGTTGTTGTTCAAGCTAGCAGGTGCTCAATGGATTATTCTGGTAGCAGTTGTTGAGCTTGCGAGTAGAAGAGACAGGGGAAATGTGATTGGATGAAAAGTCTGAAAAGGGACATAATAAAATAAAGAGTGGTGTGTTATTGGACAAATAACATTATGAAATAAAAGCTAACTTTAAAAAAAGGGCATTTAGGATTTTTTTGTTAAATTATGAAATAAAAATAGAGCCCTATAAAACGAAGCTGAGTTTTAATCATTTATTTACATTTTTATATTTCCCACAATTTATTCATGTGATTATTTATTTTATAGATATTCATTTATTTTGTGGAACACTTTGGAGCTCGATAATAACCATTAATTACGATACTATCATTGTGGACATCAAGTGTTAAACATCTGACAGTCCATAGAGCGCACTGCTTTAAAACAATATAACTCACATATTCACTTCTATGCCTGTTACATTGTCCATATCACATGAGATGCCCTTTCCTTGCAGGTGATTCCTCTTGCAGTAGGTGTGAGCTCTTTTGCTGCTGCAAGTTTTGACAGATGGATCTATGTGATTGGTGGCGGGCCGAATGGAAAGTTGGCAACTGATCAGGTTCAGTGCTGGGAACCTGGGACAGACAGCTGGGAGCTGCGGGCGCCCATTCCCATCGAAACCAAATGCACTAATGCAGTCACCTTCAAGGACTGCATCTATATAGTTGGTAAGTTGGCAGTGGTGGAGGGTAACTGAGTACATTTACTCCAGCACCGAGGTATTTGTACTTTACATACAAGTCTTTTCATTGCATGCTTCTTTATATCTTTTTACTCCACTGTATTATTTTGACAACTTCAGTTACTAGTTACTTTACAGATTAAGATTTTACAGTTTGTACAAAACACATAAAATATGATGTTATCGATGAAATTGCTCAGCAGTATATAACAAAGAAAAAAACATGCAAATTAAAAGCATAAATAACATTCCATCACTGTAAGTTGGTGGCTTTGATTTGGAGTATGTACGTGTGGGTGTATATGAAGAGTTTTATTCTAAAGTGAGATGAACACAATGTGCGAAAAGAATTGTAGACACAGACTCTTAAAGAACTATTGCTAGCATTAAGATCAAGAAAACTTGCTCAAATAATTGTTGTTTTTCAAGAATGTGATCATCTGGGTCTGGTTTATTGCATGAGAAACAGATATGCATATTTGTATATATGTGTGTCTATATTTATTAACTTAAATATGTTTTTTTTTTCTCCCAGGTGGTGCCATGCATGCCATGTACTGCTACTCACCTCTGTCAGACTCCTGGACCCTTGTGACCCGTCTAGGCGAGAGGGCGAGCTGCGCCATCGCTGCCTGTAACAACAAAATCTTCATCACTGGGGGACGGGATAACAAGAACCAAGTTATCTCCACAGTCATGTGCTGGGACTCTACCCGAGGGGCGTTGACAGAGGAGTGTGTTCTACCTATGGGAGTGTCGCACCACGGCAGTGTGACACTCATGAAGTCCTACACACACATACACAGAATAACATCTGCTTCAGAGGGCCAATGACAGACTCCTGTGAGCAGCGCAAGGAGAGTGATGAATGATGAGATGATTTTTGCAGGTGTTGCTATGTAATCTTTTTTGTCAATTAATGCCACTTTGGAATACTACCAGTCATTCACTATGTTGTATGACTAAAAAAAAATAATGTAAATAATTGATATACCACGAAATGCATTGTTTCATGGCTTTCAGTTAACATAAAGATTGCAAAAACATGCTGAGCAATATTTTTGATGAAATTATTCTATGCAAATAATAATAATTTAAGAAAATGCATATTAGCACGAGTTGTGCAAACCAAAACCAAAACCCTTGCACCTGGTGTTTTTGTATTTGTATTTTTTACACACACACACACACACACACACGCACACATATGGGCGTTTTTTCATGACTTCTGGGGACATTACATTGACTTGCATTCATTTCTTGAAGACTTACTATTCTAACCATAACCGCTACCAGCCTAACACATAACCCTCCTTTACCTTAACCTAATCCTAACCTTACCCCAACCTTACCATACACCTTAAAACCAATCTTCACCCTAAATTGTAATAATTTACATTATGGGGACAGGCAATTGTCCCCATTTGTTATATGAGTAATCTGATTTTTGTCCCCACGAGATGGGTAAAACAGGTCTTTGCTTTACTGTTTGTGGATTACTTCCTGTGAACACCGTCATCCAGTGATCAATACAACTAGTTTTGCTGTATTCAAACAAATACTAATTATCAAATACATCAAGAGATATCTTAATTCAAGGCAATTAGTATTTGTCCTATCTGCACGTTTACAAACATTACAAACCTTTGTGTCAAACAAATCACTGAAAATAGTTTTATAGACTAGAGACGAAAACTTTGCAGCCTGCTTATCTCCAGGTAGGACTGTTCCTTAAACTCCTGATTTATTTCTACTCGAACGCCAGTAGAAAAGAAAAAACTATCACAAGCTTCCGGGATATTTTCAAAATAAAACACACTGACAGCAAGTCGGCATGTCCAGTAACAAAAGTCGTTAAAATCATGAAATCAAACAAAGCTTGTATGAGAATGTGTTGAGTTAAAACGGATAGCCCTTTATTGATCACCAAACCGAAGTGCCTTTCAGTGCAGACTGGCATAGAAAGGATGATGTGGAAAGTGGAAGTGTATTCATTCACACACTTCCAAGGTGATTACTATGTACTATTGAGGTGTGGCCTTTTCCAGGGTCAGATTTCAAACTTATTGTGAAGGGAACTCAGCTGTGCATCTCGCTGGTGTTTCTTCTACTCTAGTTGATTGACACCACCCTGCAGTCCACATACACGCCCCTCGGAATACTCCCGAAATATTTTACCTCAAGCCTGTCCCGACTTGTTCCAGGAGAAACAACAATATGTGCGCTTTGCGACTTATCGGAAGAGAGTTCAACTGTTTCGCCCGTTTCACCTGTACCACTGTAGCACCTGTGTGACGAAAGTGAAAGTAAATGTAAAACGGCGGCTTGAAGAAGTGATTTGTTGGTCCTTTTCTGAAATGGCTGCTCGGTATTTCCTGCTGTGTGTCCATTTCATTGTCTCGTGCCTAGGTGAGTTTGCGTGTGGGTTGTAAATAAGATTTAAACTTTAGTGTCGACATGAAAAGTACAGCGCATATAGGTGCAGTCATATCTCAGTGTCGCAGTCTCCTCGCAGGCTGAAAGTTGAGTAGGCCTTCAATAGTTTAATATCTCACTGCAGGTAATAAATATGCGTCTGTGGTATGCCATGGATTGACCTAATGACCTAAAACAATCCACTGTTTCATGTATAGTCTAATTTATTGTTGGAATAAAGCAATACTTCTAAATACTAAGGGAGTACCATGAAATACACATAATCCCTTTAAAAAAAAAAACTTGTTTTAACTTTGTATCTTTATGTTTGACTTTACACCTGTAGTTACACCTGTATATTCTAGTAACACCTGCAATTATCCCACTATGTTGTTGCGAAATGATCCTTTCTGGTGAGACTACGTTGGTTGGTGTTATGTGGTACTTTTTGAGGCTGTAGTTTGTGTACTCTTATGTCGGACTGAATTATCTTAATAAAGGTCTGACAAAATAATCTTGATTTATGAGTCTGATTTAACTTTTTTCCGGAGATTTCAACTGCATTTCATGGTCTTCATTAGAGGATGGAGTTTGCTCAGCTGACATGGAGATGGCTCAGATTCCATCACGTTATTTAAGTTATATTGTGAGGCGGTGTTAGATGGGGGTAGATTGTAATCCGTCACTCTGTCCCTGATCTTCCTCCAGCCGCCCTCTTATACTCCTCGTCTTTGATTCAGACTCCCTCGTTGATGCTGTGGCTGGTTTCTGGTCTGGTTTTCACTGACCGCTGATGTTTTCTGTTTCAAGTGCCGATTTAAAGTCTATAACATGTCAGAAAAACAGGAAAAATGCCCGTCTCAATTCAGCAATAAGTGTGTGATGACATTTACACTCTAAAACCTGAAAATATTCAGTTTACTATCACAAAGAAAAGCAAGAAAGTCTCACAATTGAGAAGCTGGAACAAGGGAATATTTTTTGCAGCGTTGGTTAAAAACAACCACAATCAATTGATTGACAAAAAGAGGAGCGAGAATTTGCATATGTGGGTCACGTGACGACAGCTGTCTCCATGACATCCTAAGTTGAAACCTGTGAAATGCAGTTGAAATCTTGACAAAAAGATAGTAAGTAGACCTTGAGTTGCCTGCCTCCATTATTTTAAATGACCAGATTTAAATCGACGCCTATCCAACACAGTGTTGAATACTGAACATTTTGGATTAATACAAATAGGATTTATTGCTGATTTATTTGCATTGGATTATATTCGATTGTACAGAGGTACACATACTAAATTGGCAACTCGGTGTGCCGAGGTGTTGCGTTGTCATCATAACCTTCAATGTTACAAATGTACTTTCGCACATTGTGCTGCATGTTTCTATAAGTCTCTGTTCTCTGTGTCTAGTTGCTGGACAGTCCCCAAATTACGGGCTCAAGGGGGGGAAGGTCTCCTTGAAGCCACGCATCCCTGGACAACCTGATGGAATTCTGTGGAAAACTAATGGCAACAAAGTGGTCGAGTTTGATGGCAGAGAGGAGTTGGTGTACAGCCCATATCAAAACAGGATCACGCTGGACTGGCAAACTGCAGATATAAATATTCATGACCTCAGATTTGAAGACAGCGGCGAGTATGAATTGGATGCAGAAATCAACAAAAGGTTGCATCGTTCATTCTATACATTGGAGGTCATAGGTACGTTTAACAAAAATATGTCATTTGCAGTTAATCGATCAACAAAGGTACCTGCATATATAACTAGAAGTTGACGTGTCGCTATATTAAATACAACCAAACAACCTGCAAAAAAAGAAAATCCTGTTGCTCTTGCTTGTGAGAAATATTGGATCTTTTCACGTTCTGATCAACAGAAAGCTCTTTATGGTGCCATGTCTGCAATGGGAGGCGCTGTGCACACAACAACTATCGCTCGCTTACTTTTCCAATTGCAACATTATAGTCGAACGGCAAAGAGGAAGCAGAAACCCGAGCTTTCTAAAGTTAAATGCCAAACACCACAGCAGTAGCGACAAACAGTGGTGGCCTCGGAAGGGTTGTGAAGGCGAAGGGAAAATAAATGCAGCAAACTACAGAGAAATATGAAAGGAAAACCTACTGCAGCTGACAAGAGAACCACAACTTTATTTCCCAGCAGTCCAGTACAACAAACGCCTCATAGATACACACCATGTCTTGTACCAACAGTCAGTGTAGTCTTGACAGCACTTCTTTCCCTAAAAGTGTTTTATTCTTGCCCTAACTAACCAAACTGTAACAACTAGTTTTAAACCCATCATGACCATGATGTTTTCCTAACCCTTAAACGTTCTAGTTGCCTACACTCATTTATACATTTAAACATAGAACCAGAGGAACAGAAAAGTTTTATTTTTACGTTATCCTCTGTTGTGATGCTAATTCTTTATTTTTTCCCCGATAAGCACCGTATGTCCTTTATACCCTTTACATGTTTAAAATTGTGTTATTATATAAATATAACAAATCATGATTCAATTAGGTATGTATTCATTTCTTTGTTTATTGATGTATTCATTAAGAGAAAGTCGCCAAGCCCACCATCACCTGTGAGATGAAGGATGAGGGCCGCTCTAACACAGCTGGAAAGCTGCTGTGCTCTGCAAACCTCAGCCAACCTCAACCCTTAATGAAGTTCGAGTGGAGAGAACACGGAAACGTGCAGCCTGGCTCACAGTTACAAATATCTCTGGGGGATAAGCATGATGATGAAGTGTACAGTTGTACTGTGAGCAACCGCCTGAGTAAAGAAACGGCTACATTCACTGCAAAGGATTGCTACCCGGGTAAGATATCGCTTCGGCATCAGTTGTACTTTCAAATATGCTTTTAGAAACAAATTAACATATGGATATTGTTATCAGTAGCCCACCATTCGTGATGGCTTTCATGAAGAAACAATACCTGCTAAGCTGCATTGACAAAGACAATGAAATTGAAACGGAGACTTTGATCTTTCAAACTCAGCTGAGCTTTGTATCGTACCAGCGGTGACAGGAAAAGAAGATGAAACGGGAACAATGATTAGTGCACAGTGTGTTCCCTTCATGTTATCAATAATAATAATAGTAATGAGGGAAGAAATGTATCAATAGATCTCTTCAAAGTGATTTACAAAATGAACATCCTTTTGTTGTAGTATCAAGAGAGAAGGCAGAGTTCATGTTGAAGATCTAGACTAATACGTCCAGTTCTACGGTACTACTTGAATGTTTTAGTACTGAATGTAATGTAATAAAAAGCTACGGTAAGTTTGACTTTTGTGTTTCTGTGCAGAAGAAAGTTCAGCTGCATTACTGATTGCCCTCCTAGTCACCGGTGCAGTGTTACTCCTGGTGGGTCTGGCCATACTGTACTGCAAACTACGCAATAAAGGTAAAGACTGTAAACCAGAGAAATGATCCCAAAATCATTTTTATTTTATAATCCAGCAACCTAGGAGTACTAGTTGATAATACAGTATATGCTCACTGATGTCCATGTATTCAGAGCTATGTGTAACAGTTGACTAAATGTAATAAAAAGGTATATTAATAGGTTTTATATGGGGCAAGGTTTCTTTATGATCTAGAGATCAAAAGTTCCAACCATATCTACAGAAGGCTATTTAGCTGCAGTATATTTAAGACAAGCAGCTGTTTTATTGACTCTAATCTCCACAGTCCATGGCTCTCATGTGAAAACGTTGGTCAGCTTAAAGGCCATATCGTCTAAGAGCTCTTTGATCTGAGTTACATTACATTTTGTATTTCAATCTGTTTCAGGGTCGGATACGGAGCAAGCTCAGGCTGATGAAAGAAGGGCTCTCGTACACAGAGCATCCACTCTTCCCTCTACTGTGCGACTTGGCCATTTGGTCCAAGGTAATGGGAATATGAGGCCTGATGAACCTGCTAGCAACCAAAGAGAAAACCAAAGAGATTCAGAATATGAAACTGTAAAAGGTAAAGGCTGCTAAGAAATGTGTTTATATGCTATAACAGTAGAAAAACCTCTTTCAGATAACGGTGAAATAGCATTGTGTCATATTCTCTATCATTTACAAAACAAAATGTTTATCTTATGCTTCAGCCAAATAACTGAAAGACAGAGGCCTTGACAGGAAGTGGAAAAAAACAACATTTGTATTGAAATAATGAAGTAATAATAATATTAAATCTTAATATTTAGCATGTTGTTCTTTTATCTAGTTTTTTGTTGATCAGCTAATTCATTAATCAATGTGTTGTTTCAGTGCTACTCGTTATTAACGTCACACATTGCTCTTTACTGGTTTGCTTTGACTGCTTCTGTGTGGTTGAATCTCTTAAAGTATTCTTTTACTTCAATTTCCCCTTTTCTGTTTTTTCTGTTTACAAAATGACACAGCCAAGACTAAGAAAATTGCGCTTATGCCGCCTAGTCAGTTTCCCTCCCCTCTGGATCTGAATAATCTGGCTTGTGACGACAAAGGTGATGCGGATGCAGAGCAGCACAGAGAGCCTTCAGAGGAAAAAGAGCCACAGAGCGACCCCTCAGACTCTGAGAAGGACAATGAGCCAGAGCCTGCTGTTGTTGTGGACGACTTCAGTCAGGACAGGCAGTCTAGTCCAAAATCCCCCGTCTCTCCTGAACATCCAAGTTTGGAAACTACAATATACAGTATGAGCTGGATTCAGAATAGTCACAGCAATAAACACTCAAATGAAGAAAAAAAGAATTAAAAGCAAAATATTTTACAGTTAACGGCATTAATTATATATGCCCAAAGACTTTACCAAGCACAACTAATGGGCCGGTACAAAACCATTGTTCTACAGTACAGCACAGTAGTGTGAGTATGTACGCAAGTCTGGATGAAACACCCAAGTTAGGTTCAACATACTTTGTCATAGCTGACACAAGAGGATGCTGCAGCAGTTTAATTCATTGATTGATTAATCTTACCAGAAGACTGAACAAATTAATCCTTTTTCCAATTCTTAGCAGTCAGGTGCACTTTTTTAAACTTGTTTTACCGTCTGTTTCAGAGCCGGAGAAGGAGGCAGATGAGGATGAGGAAGGTCACTCTGCTCCTGCCGGCGCTGAAACTTCTCCTGCTGCTCGGCCACATTCCCCTTTGACCGAAAGCTCTCCAAATATGGCACCTAAAGACACGGCTGGTGAACACGAGGAGGTCGACAACTCAGATCACGTCACTGGAGAATCTGCCGAGAAAAATGTCAGAGAATCTGACTCATCAGACGAAGAGGAAAGAAATGAATCGGACGACTCTAGCGAGGACAAACTGTTGTCCACCGTTCCTGAACAGAGAGGATCGAAAACGATATTACATGAGCAAAGTTTAAACTTATCACAAGAAGAAAAAAACACAAGCGAAGACAACCAGCAAGAAACAGTCAAACCGGTTTCTGAAGATGAAGAGGAAAGTAAAACAGAGAGTGCAGGTGACCATGAAGAACCAGATAGGGAACAGGATCTGTATTCAACCACCTCCCAGCAGCCTCGGAGCCCCACACCAACAAAACCAGACAACAGGAGCACCGACACCTGTCAAGAGTCCCCAGCAACTGCATACGCTCACCCAGAGGAAGAAGAAGAAGAAGAAGAGCACAAGACCGGCACCGACTCAGACGAGACGGCGGGGCAGTCGGATAAAGGCGAGCAAGGCAATGAGAGCTTTGGTGGGGATAATGCAGGACAGAAGAAAGATGAAGTTGTTGCGTAGGCCTTCGTGCAACTTGGCAAACAAGTTAAGATTTAAGAAGGAAGCAGATAGTGAAGGGGATACTGTAAATACCGCACGGCAGGCAAAGAGATTAAGATCAATAAAAAGACGTAAATGCAGAGTTAAGAGAGTGTGGGGGGATTTCAACACAGTCCAAATGCAGAGAAATATAAACTGTGGGATTTTATATGGAGTGGTGGACATGCAGTAAGAGCCACTGAGGGAAGAAGCAGACAATAGTGAAAAAGGACAGTTTGGAGATTGAAAGCAGATGGTTGGTTCAGTTATCTCTGTTGCCGGTTTCTTTTTTTAATACAACACAAACGGTGAAACCAGTAATACGAGAATTCAAACTAGATTACTGAAAACAACAGAGATAACATCTCACACACAGTGCAACAGTCAGTCTGGTGGGCAACTGAAATGACTCGACGGAAATGACACTGACGTTTGTAGGAAGTGAAGAGAACCACAAGATAAACTCGCACAGAAATAGGATAGTGTCTGCCTTTCTCTTGAGTTTTCCCCGGTTCTCTTACTTTTAACTTCTTAGCTTTTTTTATTATTATTAATGTTATGTGTTTTAATAACAGCTTTATTGTTGGTCTTTTTACTATGAATTATCGACTAATGATGCTGCACATATGTTTTTTTTTAATGAATTAAGCTATTACAAACATGATTGTATATGTTTAACTCTAGTCAGTTTAAGAGCACTAACTCTTCGTATTGTGACTTTATCATTCGGAAGACTTTTTGTATTAATATTTCAATTCAATGTTTTTGTATAGCCCAAAATTACCAATCACAATCTGTACAGCATACGACATCCTCTGTCCGGGAAAAACTCCCCAAAATAGAATTATTATAATCCAGTGACTGTGACGTGGTTTTAACCGCAGATCTTTTCCTTTTTTTAAGAAACAAAATGCTTTATTGAAGGTGTTGTGGGAAAATAAAATCATCTGGTGAATATATGTGATGCTGTACGCATATGACAATGTAGAAAGAGCCCACTTTTAAATCTGAGATTTAAATGATGGATCATCCTGAAATATTTGTTGTTCTGTGTATTTTCATTTTTTATTGAGACCAGCTTGTTTATGCTCATTCATTGTTGGGATAATATTTGAAAAATGTCTGAGCTCAGGGTATATTTGTGATTGTTGATTATTCATTAATGATGTGTGATTTCCGTGCATGACACTAGATTGTTTTTGTATTTTCTTTAACTTTTTCTTGCTGCATTGTTTGCTGATTGATGGATGCTTTTGGAAAATGTCTCATTTGCACGAATTCATAAAGGCAATGCTAGCAGTTTATTTCCAGTTTCTTGTCTTTTTGTTCGACGATGAAAGCTCGGATTTCTCCATTTTAAAAGAAAGATTGTGCAATGATTGCTGAAATGATGAAATAAAAAAAGAAAATACAGCAAACTGATGTGTTTGACAGCTTAGCACGGCAAATCTATAACCAATACACACAAAAATACTGACAGTGCATCAGCAGCACATTTGTAAGTAAATGTAAGGATGTGTTTGTATCAGTAGGGGGCAGTGTTTATTTGCTCTTACTCCTAGTCATGAACTGATTAAAAATTAGAATTACATTTTTTATATAACCCTCTTAACACAGAGTTGAAGGGCAATCTCAGCGACAGAGGCCAGCTTAACAAACACACAGTTGAAAAAATGTGATGGTTAAATGTGGTGTGACAGAATTTGATTGCAGACGATTTCTCTAAAGTCTAAAGCGAGTTCAGGGAGGGCTGGGTGTTGATGAGGAGCTGAATAAACGCGTTGTGTGGGACTTTGTTGTAGTTCTGCATAATTAGAGGTGAATTTAGTGAAAAGCTGCCACAGTAACCCATCAGTCAAACCGGCTATGATGTAAAATGCTTGAAAAGCAGGTTCACCCATGCACTGCTGGATGACAAGCTGGTGTAGATTTCTTCAGGCACTGGTTGGGCCATGTGAGAAAGTCATGCATGATTAGTTTAACCTCTGAGTCACATAGACGTCTGTGATCTGCTACCACCTGACCTGCGGGTTCAGGGCACAAGCAGGGAATGAACACTATCCTATTTCTGTGGTCACAACGAATACCGAGGGGATGTTAAGAGTATTGAGTTATTGGTGGGGAATCGAGGCCCTGCCTCCTCAGACGCGGGTCACAATGTGGTTCCACTGAGACGTTTGTGATATGTTGATGGCAGCAGGGAGGCTCCCATCCCGGCTCAGAGTCTTCCAGTGGAGCAACTATTTCACCATCGCCAACTTATTTTTACATAAGCATATTTCTTTCTGGGATGGTTGTGACACCAAACAGGCTTTTTTTGTTTTGTTTTTCCTGGATTTTGAAGAAAATGGCATGCCAGCCTAACTGGCCGGGGAATCTTAAAGTAGAGTATCTTAAAGTAAGAGTATTTGTTTCACTTCAGAATGGGCCAACGTCCAGGACTGCCTTTTTTTTTGTTTTTTTCTTTTATAGCAGGTTGATTAGCAAGCTGGGTTGTTTAAATTGCCTCCTGCAGGGCTGATGTGAAATCGAACAATATCCTCTGGCTTTAGAGACTAGCCCCATAGCTTCTCATTTACTGTATTTTTATGCAGAGTTAGGACAGACCTTGGCAGGTCAGGACAAATCAATTAATATCAGCTCTATAAAAGGTCTTGGCTCTTTCTCGGGCCATACTTTACTTACGACGCTGCAACCTGGACACCCAGCATAATTATGTGGATAAATTGTTAAATGTGGTTGAGACATCATAATGAAATAATATTTCTTTCCTATCTCTATAAAATACCTCTATTAAGGCCCGATTTGTCTTTGGACCCTGCTTTTATGAGAAGTGATAGTAGAGCATTGTTTGTCATTGTTATTATTTTATTACTTTAAACAAAGTTTCCCTCGTGGGCGATGATGTTTATGACTGTATATTCGGTTCAAACTCAACCTCTATGCTCAAGTGTGCCTAAGGCAGAAAGATTATTATACCCATGGCAGCAACCAACACAGTGGAAACACTTATTAATACTTATATACCCATAAATGCTGCAAATGGGACGGATAAAATAGGTGTAGGGTAAAAGATTCAACGTTGTTTGACTGGCCTCTCAGAACCAAAAATGATCTCAGTAGTGAGAAATAATTCAAATAACTAGAAATACACCTCAGCTCCTTCGTGGTCTTATTAACAGAGGCCTGGGGGGGGATTTATACCTCCTTCATTTTGTTGTTACTCCAGTAATAAGGAACTTAATTGGAGGATGTTATCTACTGTTTGGGGTCTATCAAACACACCACTGCTGCCATGTTCATATCTGGTGACACAATATAAACACTGGTTATTGGACCTCCAGGCTGAATGAAGGTGTGCACGACGGCAGCCATGTTTGCGTGAGTCTCATGGTGGATTCCTTCTCATCAGGACAGCTTAAAGCTAATTACAGAGTCTCGGGTTGGATTTGGAGTATGGTCACATCTTTGTGCCTGCAAACTTTCTCTGTCACACAACATCTTGGCAATAATGTCCCTCTGAAACGTCAATTGTTGAGCCAATATATTAATATTAAGTAAATATTTTCTTCTCTATGGCCAGGAAAGATCTTGGAGTATTTGCTTGTTTTCACTACGGTTTCTCTTGGGCTTTTGCTTTGGAGACGGCTCTCATATTTGTGGTATAGGGACACAGAACCTGGCCTGATTTGAGAATTTATCTAAACAGTATGGCCACACAGCTAAGCATGAAAGAGAGACAAATACTACTGTTTTTTTAAGCATTAGAAAACTTCAGTTTGACTACTTAGTATAAAGTAATATAGTAATGTAATGATGTCCAGGTCAATTGTTTGGTGCTCCTTTTTGGTCCTGTAGACCAAGAATCCGAATGACTTTAGTGATCCCCTGACTTTTCCCCGAGCACCACCACCAGGACAACACTTGGAGGTTTTTGGTGACAACTGTTGGATGGATTGCCAAGAAAACTGGTGCAGCAGTACTCACCATACAAAAATAACCACATTCCCGCCAGTCTCACCATGTGTTTAAAACTAATTGTTGGAATGAGCATTCCAACTATTGTTATCCTGTTTCTCTTCATTCTTCTTCTTATATTTCTTCCGTCCCACCTCTTCTTCTTCTTCATTTTTTAAGCTACAGAAACCGTTCAACTATCAAAATGTTCAGCTCTTTAATGACATTTCTGCTATGACTTTTCATATTTCTATCTCTTATGCTTTATGAATTATTAAACTTTTTGCAATTTTAATTTTGAATGGGATTTCAATGGAGAAAATGTTCAAATCCTCTTAAACTTCTTCAACTTTCAAATCCTTCAACTTCCTCATATTTTCAGCTACAGACACCATTTTAACTTTCAAATGTTGAGAAAACCCTGATGTATTGCCACATTATTCAGCTTTTTGATACATTTTAAACTTTTTGAACTGCAGCAATTTAACTTTTATGATTTTTCAGCCCTTTTCTGACTTTATAATGGGTGTGTATTGCGCAGCTTAGAGTGCGTGATGTCACCGCTAGAGTGAAGAGCAGCTTGAGATTCTTGTGAAAAAAAGATTTGTCTTTTGCCACTGTGTCCACAATCTTCACTCTTCATGCATAATTTCTGGATGTAGAAGTAGCTAATCTTGTCCTTGTCGTAGACAAATGACTGTGGAATCCCACAGATTTACACATTTGGCACAGAAGCCTGT